TTATATAGCAAGCTCCATTGGCTATTAAAACCACCATTTGAATTAAATCTAAATGCTTAACATTATTGAAAAAAACAAAAATACAGTTTCACTTAAACTTTTGTCGTGCACTGTATGTTAGTTTTTACTTTTTGTTTGTTTGTATTACACGAGATAAACGATCTGATGAAAGTTTTTCATTGTCATTCGTTAATATCCAACATGCTGTTTGCTTATGCATGTACTTCACCTTATCATTAATTTTAATTTTAAAATAGCGATCTTTTTGCTCCATTTTTATATGATCTAAAATCTTTATACCATCAAAATCAGTTTTTATCGAATTCATATTTTCTTCTTCTTCATCATCATCATCAAATGAATCGTTCAGACTTTGACTGTCCTCATAAATGTTGCTAATAAATTCATCGTTATTATTTAAATAATCATCTTCATCGTACTCTTCATCATCTGTATCCAATTCTGAGTGTAAGCTACTTTTACTACATGTTGTTGATATAATTGAAGAATCTATCATTTTTGATTTTGCATTGAGTTGACTAAAAGTGTATTTACTTAAGGAATCTAACTCAAGAATATGATATTCTTTCAGTATTGGTATTACATTTAATGGTTTAATAAGATCAACTGCCATTTTATATGAATTGAAACCAATTTTATCTATATCTAAATCATAAATATCTTCTAATCTTTCTTGCAACGTCAAATTATTGTTATTTCTGTATTTATGATGTACAGGAAAAATTAAATTATTTTCATTTTGATTATTTTCTTGCTGATGTTTGATTTTATTCAAAATTGATAATTTTTGGGAGCGATGAAGAAAATCACTCACTGTAAAGTTAACAATTGTTGAAAATGTTCCACTTAAAGATCTGGTGTTACGAAACATTGATTCGCATGATTGCGAATTAAACAAGTAAATATATAATGCTTCTTTTGGCAATTGGTTATCTTTACGAGTAATATTAAATAGAGCAACATATGTGCATTAATTTCTACTGACAGGTAAGCTGTTCTAGTAATAAAATGTTTATATTTAGTTTCTTTTTTTTTTGTTGTTGTTGTTTTAGATACATTTACAAAATTTGTGTGTTGCAACCAGGCCCACCAAAGACGACAAAAGAAGACTACACACCACGCTAACTCCAATCCTATATTAAAACAGGTAATTATACATGCGAATAATAGTGAAACGTAAGAAATTACAAAACAGTCACGTGATTATAATTTCTATTATACTCTCTAATCGAGCTTTCAGGGTCGGATTGATTTAAACTATATAGAAAAAATTTTATATTGAGACCAAAATCTTGTTGGAAATCAAGGATTCATACGGAAGCTTTTCAAGCAACGAATAAAATATTTTACTAACAAAAGTATTTTACTTTTACTATTTTATCCGAAAAATATTTGAACAAAAACGTCAGGTTGAATTCCTTTTGTAATCTGACGTTTTCCAACGAGTTTTCCTCTTTCATATAGTAACAACCGTTTTTCCAAAAAGAATTCTTTTGGTGGCTAAAAGACCTTTACATCAAATTTTCATTTCTTAAAACACTTTGAACTTAGTAAGACCTTTTCATTTATTGTTCGCCAGCAAAAAAGTAAAACTCGATAAAAAAAACTCGGGATCATGTGCACATAAGTTTCAAAATACATTGAAAGTATCGAAACAACCTGTATTTTTCACTGAAATACATAGAACAGGTTCCTTCTCGTTATCAAAACTCTTGTTCTACTCGAAAATATTTTGGTTGATTCCGCATCTGCTTTCCTAACGCAGATTAAACAAAATATTTCTCCTTAGTCTTGTACAAAGTTTCAAAAAAATATGCACTCACGTTTAGCTATTTTCGTTGATTTATCAATATACGCTGTTATGATCATTTTCAATAATTGAAGGTACACGTGAGTACTTTGCACATTATTATTTTTACTGAGAATATTTAACAAATCTTCTGAAACAAGTTTAACACAAGATCGATAGTTTTGTCTATCCTTTGGATTTAAATCCGATATTGTTAAACCATGGTCTAACTTCGTATATTGATCATTTTCAATTATGTTTTGTAAATCCTTGATACTAATTGTTTGATTTCCTATCCGCATTTCAGCTACTTTAGACAACAGCCGATTTCTCCATTTTGTCACTAAATGTGTTGGATCTTGTAAAAATAGAAATAGCTGTTGTCTTCGAAGAAAAAACCATGACCACCGTTCTTCTATCTTGATCTTAAATGTATCGAAATGATTGTAAGATTGAAAGTTTGACAAAGATGCAAAGAAGCCGCACATTAGCCTCATGGCCCGTACATATTTTGGATCACCGTCTAATTAATAGAAATGAAAAGCAGATAAATCAAACGATGAGATCTTTGAAGATCTTGTATCGATAAAAGTTTCTGAAACGGTTTTCCTATTTACACAGTTATCGAAAAGAATATAAAAGAAATTACTTATTTAGAAGATGAATCTATGCAATACAAGGAATATCGCCTTAGAATTAGTAATGTATCAAATCAAAACTAACTACAATGCTTATGCATGACAAATGCAGTGGGAACCTATTGAAATTAGCCAAAGTTATTGAATTCACTAAAGCATCATATTAATCAATATAAATGGCGATAGTTTTTTTTATTAGGACCCTAACACGACATTATTGCTGTGATTATATATTTAGTGCAGTACGAATATTTAGCTGACATCCTAATACAAATTTACAAAATCAAGATAATACTGAATTTATTGGTAGAGATATTATGAATCCGAAAATTTTAAAATCATCTACCAACAATTAATTTTAATTGACAATTGAAAAACAATACTCATTTTCTCAGATTACTGTAAACTGGAAAATTAAGTCTTTTGGATTTTTTTGCCCACACCAACAATCAGTATAAAAGTGTCTTCGAGACAAAGCGTGATCAGTCAAGGCATCACGTGTTCTGAAATAACATCTAAAACTTGAAATTAATCCCGTCTTTCTAACCAAATAAAAAATTTGTATTGGTAGTTTTCGATTTTACTCAGCTCATGTTTTAATGACTTTAATCAAATCAGATTTGTTGCAGCTATTATGGACTTATTTTGTTAGTGCCTCTCAGTAAAAAAATGTTATCTAAAAAATCCAATATAAATACCATATTTAACAAATTTATTCAAGCTCTGTCTCAATTGTACTTTATTTGTAATTCTTTGGTCAATCGAGACCAATCTGTTATCATAATTAATTTTTCTAATGAGCCGAGCCTAGTATGAGAATCCCTAAAGTTTCTTATATCAACTAAACCAATGATTTTTCTACCGAATGGTATTTTAAGATTTTTCAACTTAGTTTGATATATAGTTTAAGCTCTGTTTATATTTCATGAATCCCTATAAATATAAGTCATAGTATTCTTTGTTTGTTTTTCTACTGGAACAATTATCTTCCAAACAGAATTATTATGCTGTACAGTTTATTCCGAAAAATAATGATTTTTTTATTTTTGGGTCAACTATTCTCAAAATTAGGTATGTGAATGGTTCACACTAAGCAATTGAGTTGCTCTCGATTAAAATAATCTCGCTAATTTACATTACTGCTGCCCGTCGGCTCTTGCAATACGATCTGACATGTACGATCCGTATTTTTCAAGTGAGCTGAAGTTGGTGACCATTTCTTTTAATTTGAGCTGGTATCATTAAATGTTTTATTTCAGCTAATCCAGGTATAATGAGCACGTGAGTAAATTCATCTCAAATGAAATGGTCTGGCGTCAGCATTTCGATTCGCTTCTTCAAAATTGCTGAATTGTAATCTATCACATCCCTAATCAACAATTTGATTCAAACTCTCATCTCGTAGAGATATAAGCGTTTTTTATTCCTTTAAGAAGAAAACTTCGATGCAAAGATTTTACCCGTAGAAAAACCAATAATTCTTATTTGATTTTGGATACAATTATTAAAAAGATAAATCCATCGATTTATTATGTCGATGGCAGTTGATGTACTATCAACACCATAAGCACTTATAAGAAATGATGCAGGTGCATTTGCTTGATTTGACTGTGGTATAGGCTGAAACATATGAATATTTAGTAATGAAGCTTTTTCTATGTTATCAAACCAGAATTTTAGTTGTTCAAATGAATCAGTCTGATAACAATCACGAATTGGTACTTCATTAGATAATTTCGTAACGAAACCAATAAATGAATTTGTGGTAACATCGTACTTAACTTTTTTAATTACACCAGTGCAATCCTCTGCACAAAAACCAAATCTTACATTTACTGTATCAAGATATTCTTTCAAGGCAGCAAAACGAAATTGACCTTCTGTTAAAATAGAATCAGCATTCGATATTAATTTATTTATTGTTGTTAAATTAGGTAATGCACCAATAATGTTGATTCGAATGAAATCATAACATTGTTTACCACCTAATATATACAGTACTAAAGCAAAATCTTTCACAGAATCATCATATCGATAACCTTGTTTTGATTTAACTATATTTTTTGTTATTGTATCGATGAAAGACGATACAAACAAATGCTTTTTATTACTATAATTATTTGTGAATTGATTCTGTGAATACCAATCTATCAGTGATTGTAACATTGAATTCTGATCAATCAGCTCATAGTATCTTTCTTTTTGTAAATCATTTGTAAAACTATGCTGTTCTTCAATTTTTTTTTTAATATTGTTTTCAAATATGTCATATTATTTAATACTCCTGTACGAATTATATATTCTCCATTTCTCATTTTAAAGCATGACTTGGTTTTTATGTTATCAATTTCTTCAGAATCATACTTGAATATTTCAAAAACATCAACTGTATTCAAAAAGTTCTGTGCAGAATCAATCATTTGAATTTGAAGAATATTGCAAATAACTTCACCAACTAATGATCGAATAGCATGAAAAAATTCTTCACCTTTCAATGTAAATATATTGTCAGGTAGAACAGATACATCATAAACATCTTTTTTATTCATTTTCAAGATATCTAAAATAAAATATGCTAATAATACAAACTCTATAAATAGTTGATCAAGTCCCAAAGTAATTATTAAATATCGTTTATATAACTCAAGAACTTTTACACAAATTTTTTCGTTTATATCCTATACAATAAGCACATCTTATATAACGTTCATGCAGTAAAAATTTCAAGTTAGACTTTCAAAGCCACCTCTTGGCCAAGGAAAAGAAAATAAAACAGACCCAAAACTTCTAAGGGTATTAAATAAGAATCAATTGATTAGCAGCGGTTCTGTATTCAGTTTCTATTCAAACAGAGATAGAAATTCTTGAATCAAGCTTTTTACATCCAGGTCGTCGAAAACTCTATAAATAGTTTCAGTGTTAGCCGTGAAAAAATTACTTCACAGTATCTTTGTATGAGATGAAAAAACTTCTTAAATTTTCGTTGTATGTACTATTTCAACCAATAAATGGCCCTTTTTGTCTTCTCGCTTGATTTTTTTATTTGATCTACATGATATATGAGAAAAAAGTCGTTCAAAAACAATGAAATATCGAGATATATTTCTTAGTTCCGACCATACAAAACCTATATCGTTTGATCTTACTCTAGTTTGAGTTTGCAAAAACAGAACTCATCTGGTCTCAGATACCTCTAATTAGATTATAATCAAATATGGACGGCTATTTCTACTGGAAACTTGATAAAGAAAAGTCAATCTTCGGTACTATTTTTCGTGAACATATGCTTTATTTTCAAGTAAAGTATAAGATGAATCATCATTTCGAAAGCTGTATAAAACTGAGTTTTGATTCCAGTTTCATGCAAAAATGTTGTATATAATGATACGAAATAAACAGAAGTGAAAGTTTTGAATGAGTAGTAATTTTTTTTCTAAATGATTTGCAACAGATATCTCACTGACTTTGTTTCTCGGAATAATACATCTTGCACAACACTTCGGGAACCTTTTCAAATATTTTCTGTGTTTCTTTTCATGTTCTTTTGCTGATAGTTTCTCTATAAATAACAGAACCGGAACTGATTTCTTGAGAAACGCTCAAAACTCCGATGGATTCTCACACAAGAAGAGTGTAATGAATGGCATGCTGCCATCTTTCATTTTGTTTGTATGTTTCTATTTTTATTAGATTCTGATTGAAATATATTCTCCTTCGGACAAAAAAAGTTCCTTTTTTCAATTCATTTTTTCATCACCTAATACGCTGTATTAAAAAAACAAAATACATCACAAGATTCAGCGTGAAAAGCTCTAAAATCCACAAAGAACAGCTTATTTTATAATTGCACTTTTTGTTTTCAAAATGAACAAAATTCTGAGCCGCTAGTTTTTGGCACTTCGAAAAAAATTGTTTTTTGGTACACGATAAATTTCTTTTCTTATGTCATTAATTAATGAATCATTGTTTTTAACTTTATCCCTTTGTTCAACCATCGATTATGACTTTCGATACAAATCTCTAACCAAAATAATAAGAAAAGAAATTGATTGAGTACCAAAAAAGGATCTTGTTCACAGCGTCAAAAATTAGTCGCACAGAGTTTTGTGTATTTTGAGAAAAAAGTACAACTATGGAATAATCTGTTCTATGTAAATTGTAGAACTTTTCATGCTGCATATTGTGGTATATTTTGTTTTCTTTTTAGTAAAGCATATCAAGTGATAAAAAGATGAAATATGAAAAAAACCGAAATCGACGGGTACCAAACAATTATTTTTTTCGAACTGTCAAAAATTAGTGGCTCAGAGTTTTGTTCATTTTAAAAACAAAAAGTGCAATTATAAAATAAGCTATCCTTTGTAGATTGTAGAGCTTTTCACGCTGCATCTTGTGGCGTATTTTGTTTTTTTAATACAGCGTATTAGATGTTAAAATAATGAACTGGAAAAAAGGTACTTCTTCTTTGTTCGTGAGAGACTATTTTTTTTGAAGTGTCAAAAACTAGTGGCTCAGAATTTTGTTCATTTTGAAATCAAAAAGTGCAATTATAAAATAAGCTGTTCTTTGTAGATTGTAGAGCTTTTCATGCTGCATCTCGTGATGTATTTTGTTTTTTTAATACAGCGTATTAGATAATGAAATAATGAATCGGAAAAAGGAACTTTTTTTGTCCGAGGGAGATTAGAAATGCTCTTTCTACGTGGCACTATCAATGAATATCCCTTTTGAGCTTGCGTTTGAACCTATAACACCTCATTCACAAGAAATGGTAAATATGAATATAAAGTGTGTCCTTTACTCTATTTGAGAATTTAAACAATAACCAATTAATTGTTCTGAACGAATATGTGATATGTAGGTTGTTCCTCCCAAATATGCATTTTTATAGTATGGATGTTCATCATTTAGATGTCGCACTTTTCCAGAAAATAGAAACTGACAATTTTTCCCGTATTGGCTAATCTGTTGAGCAAATCCTTTTTCTTTTCACATTAAAGACGTTTTGGCGCACTTCAAATTTTTTTGTTTCTATTAAATCGTTTTATCAACATTACCATTAATAAATAAAATTTTTGTCCTTATGTCTGTCGCACATTATTATCTTAATACTAGTCAATTACCAAATGATGTTTTATCATACACGGATCAAGATTTTTATAATTTTGTTGAAATGTTCCTCGGAAAATTACATGCCCGTTTGCTTTCATACTTGCACATTAGTAGTGTACCATGTTTTCTTTTAACTGAAAATCCATGTGCCATTTTAACACTTGATATTGATGATGAAGTTTTGGAACAATTGAGCCAAGAAACATGTATTAAATTGAAAAACAATCAATTGATAGTGAAACCTGGTGTCGAAAACAGTTTTAAATGTTTAAAAGAATTATTGAAAAAAAAAATTGAAGAACATATGAAGACAACAAACCGAAACATTAAGCAACAAGTTATAACAGTTGCTAATACTAATTCTACACAATCATTTTCACTTTCCTCGTCAATGTCAACTTCATCACCATCATTATTCACAAGTTCTTGTTCGCCATTAACCATAGACGAACATCACCAATATTTATTAAATTGTATTCGACAATGGTGCATTGATAATAAAGCCAACCTTCGATTTAATGAATTTGAATTGAAAGAAGATGTTGACTTTACTTTTATTTTTTCGAATATAAATAATTTTTTGGAAATCAGCATTCAATGCAAATGTGGTTCAAAAATAAATTTAGGAAAAAATGCTGAAAAATTTCAGTTATCAAATTATTATAAACATTTGAAGGATACCAGATGTTCACACATGAATGCATTGAAGAAAAAGGCACAAGAACAGATGCAAAATCGACAACATACACGTATAAATTTAACAGCTACATCATCACCTATTACCAATAATAAAAGGCGTATTGATTCACAAAGTTCACAAAAGGCGAAACAGAAAAAAGAACATTAGTTTTAGTAGGTTTTGACAACATTTTTTTGTACATGATTTTGTAAAATTCTATTTGTATATTAAAATAAAATGAACTGTTTCTTATAATAGTGTTGTTGTGATTTTACTGATGTGGTTATTTCATTTTTATGTAATTGTTTCTTATGAAAATGTAGTATATGAAAGCTGTAAATAAAACAACATTGCCAAGCGTAAGCTGTAGGTTATATAAATAAATAGCTCCAGAGAAAATCATTAAAGACTAATTAGAAAATTTCTATATGATTATTGCAATTTCGA